TGTGTAATTTTCAAAATTATTTCGGCCAGGGAGGTGGATTTCAAAAATTACAAATCGACCCCCACTTGGGGTGCATTTCTAGTTTAAGGACCAAAATTAAAAAGAGGTATAATATTATAGGGACCAAAAATCGTAAAATTTGATCGATTTGTTGATATTAAAGATTTATTTTAACATTTGAATCAACATAGATATGAATGAATTGAATCGTAAGATTTGAATCGTAAATTATACGATTTTATGCTCGGTGTTGCGAATTTTTATAAATGTGGCGGATATTTTGGATATTGAAAGAGAGATCCACTTTGGGGTCAAATTTGCAATTTGGGTGGAGCGATTAGGAAGATTGAGTAAGTATAGGGGTGATTATGCAATTTTCAGAACTGCTTCAGCTAGGGAGGTGGATTTTTTGAAAATTACCAATTGATCTCCACTTGGGGGCATTTCCGGTTTAAGGACTAAAATTAAAAATGGGATATAATATAGGGACCAAAATAGTAATTATAACACGTTTATCTCCCTAAACTTTACCACTAAAACGATTTATGTCCTCAAACATTTCAATCCACGAAATATGTCCTCAAACTTGCCACTTTTGATCACTTTATGTTATGCCGTTAACGTCGGCAGCTAACTTCGACGGAAATTGCATGCGTGGCTCACGTGACGTCTATGTGGCCGTTAAATGTGACGTGGAATAATATATTGAATATTAAATTTTGACGTGGCACAAGAATATACTAATTTCCTCTAACTCACTCTCCCAAATCCCAAGTCTCAAATCATGTTTCATTCCCATTCCCAAATTTTCAATCCAATCTGCATTCTTGCTCGAACCCATACTAAAATCGAAGTCATAAACCCATAAAAAATCCAAACATTCTCATATTTGAAGAGTTTTTCCCTTCTCAAAGAACAACAGATTCACGTGCAAACACATGTCTGCAATCGAGAGGAAGAAGGTAATTCTTCTCCCAACTCCGTCTCTAGAACGTTGGGGTCGTGTTATTCTTCGCCTGCTGATGCTTGTGCCCCTTGTGGTCTCGATAAAGCGAGCACAAGGATGGTGAAGATGGCACAAATTCTACCCAACTCAGCAGTTTCAGAACCTGGCCAGAAGGTGTTCAACAAAATGTCTGAACCAATTCCGGAAAAAAAAAACATGCCGCACCTGTCAAAGCTGCATATAATTCTTTTTTCGCCAAGAATAGAATGCCCAAGAACGGATTTCAGCTCCCCGACTTCCCCAACGAAGTGGAAGAAGACATGATATTTCAGCCCGAAGATGAAAGTGAAATCGAGGAAACATTCGGCATTTGTTTATTGGGCTATTTTGCAGGTAAAACACCACGAAAAATGGCCATGGATTCACAGACGATTCTGCTATTTTCGAATTTCACCTTAATCGAAGGATTCGAAATGGGGTTTTAGGGATTGGATTTACGGGTTCATTGGGGATATGGAGAATTAGGGATTTTAGAATAGAAATAGGGGAGGAGAATGACGTGTCGCTCCACATCACGTTTCGTCGACCAAGTAGGCATTGGGTGTTGTACAGCTCGACATTTAACGGCCACATAGACGTCACGTGAGCCACGCGTGCAATTTCCGTCGAAGTTAGCTGCCGACGTTAACGGCATAACATAAAGTGATCAAAAGTGGCAAGTTTGAGGACATATTTCGTGGATTGAAATGTTTGAGGACATAAATCGTTTTAGTTGTAAAGTTTAGGGACATAAACTGTAATTTTCCCTTAATTATAAATAATATAATAAATTATTGTTTTCTTAAATCGTAAATCGTAAAATTTGATCGTTTTGTCGATATTTAAGATTTATTTTAACATTTGAATCGACTTAAGTATGAATAATTGAATCGTAAGATTTGAATCGTAAATCATAAGATTTTAAACTCAGTATTGCGAATTTTCGTAAATGAGTCACATGCTATTATAGTTGAGGAGTCGAAGCATACTGCGTTGGTGGCAGATATTTCGGATATTGCAAGAGAGATCCACTTAGGTGTTAAATTTGCTATTTGGGTGAAGCGACTGGGAAAATGGAATAAGTATAGCGGTGATTCTGCAATTTTCAAAACTGTTTCAGTCAAGGAAGTGGATTTCCAGAAATTATAAATTGCCCCCACTTGGGGTGCATTTCTTGTTTAAGGACAAAAAAAAAAAAAAAAAAAAAAAAAAAAACAATGTATGTAATATAGGGACCAAAAATCGTAAACTTTGATCGATTAGCTGATATTTAAGATTTATTTTAACATTTGAATTAACATAGATATGAATGAATTGAATCGTAAGATTTGAATCATAAATCCTAAGATTTTATGCTCGGTATTGCGAATTTTCGTAAATGTGGCGGGTATTGAAATAGAGATCCACTTTGGGGTCAAATTTGAAATTTGGGTGGAGCAGCTAGGAAGATGGAATAAGTATAGGGGTGATTCTACAATTTTCAAAGCTATTTCAGCCAGGGAGGTGGATTTTCAAATATACAAAATGACGTCCACTTGGGGGCATTTCCGGTTGAAGGACCTAAATTAAAATTTGTATATAATATAGGGATCAAATATGTAATTATCGCAAGTTTATTACAAATAGTATAATAAATTAAAGTTTTCTTAAATTGTAATTCGTAAAATTTGATCATTTTGGTGATATTTTAAATTTATTTTAACTTTTGAATCGACTTAAGTATGAACAAACTGAATCGTAAGATTTGAATCGTAAATGATAAGATTTTAAACTCGATATTGCGAATTTTCGTAAATGAGTCACACACGATTATAGCTGAGGAGGAGTCGAAGCATACTGCGTTGGTGGCGGATATTGCAACAGAGATCCAATTTGGTGTCAAATTTGCAATTTGGGTAATGCGGCTGGGAAGATGGAGTAAGTATATGAGTGATTCTGCAATTTTCAGCCAGGGAGGTGGACTGTCAAAAATTACAAATTGACCCCCACTTGGGGTTCATTTTTGGTTTAAGGATCAAAATTAAAAAAAGGTATAATAATACAGGGACCAAAAATCGTAAAATTTGATCAATTTGTTGATAGTTAAGATTTATTTGAACATTTGAATCGACATAGATATGAATGAATTGAATCGTAAGATTTGAATCGTAAATCATAAGATTGTATGCTCGTTATTGCGAATTTTAGTAAATGTGGCGGATATTTTGGATAGTGAAAGAGAGATCCACTCTTTGGAGTCAAATATGCAATTTGGGTGTAGCGGTTAGGAAGATGGAGTAAGTATAGGATTGATTCTGCAATCTTCACAACTATTTCAGCCAGGGAGGTGGATTTTCGGAAATTACAAATTAACCTCCACTTGGGGGCATTTCCGGTTTAAGGACAAAAATTATAAATGGTATATAATATAGGGATCAAAACTGTAATCATCACAAGTTTATTAAAATTAATATAATAAATTAAAGTTTTCTTATATCTTAAATCGTAATTTGATCGTTTTGTTGATATTTAAGATTTATTTTAACTTTTGAATCGACTTAGGTATGAACGGATTGAATCGTAAGATTTGAATCGTAAATCATAAGATTTTAAACTCAGTATTGCGAAATTTCGTAAATGAGTCACAAGCGATTATAGTTGAGGAGGAGTAGAAGCATACTGCGTTGGTGGCGGATATTTCGGATATTGCAAGAGAGATCCACTTTGGGGATAAATTGCAATTGGGCTGGAGCGGCTGGGAAGATGGAGTAAGTATAGGGGTGATTCTGCAATTTTCAAAACTGTTACAGTCAGGGAGGTGGATTTCCAAAAATTACAAATTGACCCCCACTTGGGGTGCATTTATAGTTTAAGGACCAGAATTAAAAAAAATATATATAATAATATAGGGACCAAAAATCGTAAAATTTAATCGATTTGTTGATATTTAAGATTTATTTTAACATTTGAATCAACATAGATATGAATGAATTGAATCGTAAGATTTGAATCGTAAATCATACGATTTTATGCTCGGTGTTGCGAATTTTCATAAATGTGGCGGATATTTTGGATATTGAAAGAGAGATCTACTCTGGGGTCAAATTTGCAATTTGGGTGGAGCGGTTGGAGTGATTATGCAATTTTCAAAACTGCTTCAGCTAGGGAGGTGGATTTTCGAAAATTACCAATTGATCTCCACTTGGGGGCATTTCCGGTTTAAGGACTAAAATTAAAAATGGGATATAATATACGGACCAAAATAGTAATTATAACACGTTAATTATAAATAATATAATAAATTATTGTTTTCTTAAATCGTAAATCGTAAAATTTGATTGTTTTGTCGGTATTTAAGATTTATTTTAACATTTGAATCGACTTAGGTATGAATAATTGAATCGTAAATCATAAGATTTTAAACTCGGTATTGCGAATTTTCGTAGATGAGTCATGCGCAATTATAGCTGAGAAGTCGAAGCAGAGACTGCGTTGGTGGCTGATATTTCGGATATTGCAAGAAAAATCTACTTTGGTGTTAAATTTGCTATTTGGGTGGAACGGGTGGGAAGATGGAGTAAGTATAGCGGCAATTATGCAATTTTCCAAACTGTTTCAGTGGATTACCAGAAATTACAAATTGACCCCCACTTGAGGTGCATTTCTTGTTTAAGGACCAAAATTAAAAAAAAATGTATGTAATATAGGGACCAAATCTGTAATTATCCCAAGTTTATTATAAATAATATAATAAATTAAAGTTTTCTCAAATCGTTACTCGGAAACAGTACAAACCTAAAAACAAAACTTAAACGTACGCAAAGAACATGATAGACAATTCAAAAAATTATGCGACGTACAATCAAATTTTTGGTCTTCAATTTTACCAAGAGTTATGAAAATACGAGAAAGATCGGATTACAAGTGTCTACATACATAAAGCTGTGAATACCTTCAAGTGCTTGAAATATTTTTGTAATCTGATATATAGGAAATTGAAAAACAGGAAGAAAATAATAAATGGGAAAACAGAGAATGAATATGAGGTGAACGTGTGATTCCTCACCTGATTTTGTTGCATTCGAAAGTTCTGAAAATGCAATTATACGATCCAGGTTGCTTAAATTAAAGACCTAATAGCCCCAACTACGAAAACAAATATTCATAGAAGAGAGGGAGGGTTTTTTGCGATCGAGCAGCGATTTCATCCGCTTTCCTAAACAAAAGAAACAATCATAGAAGGAAATAGGGAAGGCCTTTTGAGATCGAGCAGCGATTCATCCACTTTCCTAAAGCACCAATATGCGCAGGGAGAATTGGAAAATATGAGAACACAAATCGAAAACCGCCGGAATGTGTGCCTCGTGTGTCCAGTTGACGGAGGCCGGGAAATAAGGAGGTGGTGGAGAGAGGGAGCAAAAATTTTGAAGGATAATGTACAAGAAGTAAATTGTAAGGAAAAAATACAAATATAAGAGGCATAAATCAAAGTAATATAAAGAAGTCCAACGTCAAACGAAGTCGTCGGAAGCGCAAAGCTACTCGTCAGAGTGGCGCCGTCTACAGATGTGGACGAACTCAACTCCAGCTGAGAATTCACTCGGCCGAATAAAATCAGCTATAAGAAGTAAACTTCACTGGAAGACATCAATATAATTCTTGAACAAGCGGCAAACCTGTATACGAACAGAGAGAGCAACAGCAAACCGAAGCCGAAACACCAAAAAAGGGCTAACCTGTAATTATATAGAAAACACGAAGAAAAAGAAAAGAAAGGAAACAATGGTTGCGAATGAAGAAAGTAATAAAATTAGATTGGGTGAACACAAAAAAGAGAAAATTACAGGAAAATAGAAGAGAGTCACCTGCACCACGACTCAACCTTTGGAAGCCATAAGCAAAGAAGTTCCGACTTTTTATCCAGCATATGAAAAGAATATTAAACAATAGTAATAAATGAAATTGTTGTATGAGTTTGGAGTGAAAGAAGAGAATCTGTAAGATATATAAATAACAAAGATCACATAATTCAAAATTCCTTGTAATAATCCGTCTGAAGCTGAATTTTAGCGACGTACCTCGGATCCAAATAGAGGTATGTATGCAACACCAAGTTTGAAAAATTGCCGTGAGGGAATCATGGTCGAATTTTTTCGTAATCATCCAACCCGCGGTTCTTCAAATAAAGAGTATCGTTGGTGAGTTGGATTTTATAGTCGTAATGATCCCTTAAATAAAAGAGAACATAAAGGGCAGGATAATGTTTTTTTAATTAACTTGTCACACCGTAAATTTTGAACTGTAATATCATTATATATCACCAACGTTACACATGACAATAAACGAACAAGAGGCTTAGCGTAATCGTAATTACGAGGTTGAACCTGCAAATAGTGAAGAAACAAATAATGTCAATTGTATTCATCAAATTTTATGAACTGACCAAACAACAACAGGGAGCCAATAGTTCGCAAAAGTTTTGCAGCCGCACAGTTGAAAAGTAAATGAACAAGCAGCATTGAAGATTTATGAGTTAAGATGGATTTAAAGTGAAAGAAGGAAAGGTAGGTGAAAATTCGTTGCACGAATGAAGCTGTAAACATATAAAAGGTAATGAAGGTCATTAACACACACACAAAATACTCTATTGTTTACAAGCGTGGACAAGTTCAGATTTAGATTTAGATACCCGCACTCGATACTCATCTAGTGTTTTAAAAATATTTTTTTCTATTTTGTTCATTCATCAACATGTAGAAAATCAAAATTCAGCACGATGAAAATAAAGTAAATACATAATTGTTGCTCAAAAGTGTTGGAATTTTCATGATTTCCAATAATTAATATTGAGTAATATTAATTAAATTATGTAAAGATTAATTTCATTTATTTACTTGATCATAATCATGAAGTAAAGTGAATGAAAATTGTCTTGAGTAAATGGTTAAAGTTCAAAAGATGTGCGCTCGATGTGATCGAGTAATAGGATTAGTTTGGGTTTATGTGTCTACAAATATTACTTTTGGGGACATTTAATAATTAGTCAAATTAATTGACCCAAATAAATAATAAAATATTTGGCCCAAACCAAATATCTAATTAATTGGCCCATGACCAATTAATTTTCCTACGCTTATTTGAACTCGTAAAAAGAAGAGACACATCCTTCTGCTTCTTTTCCAACCATTGCAACCCTCTGTGAATGGATCTCTACAAACTATAAATAAAGGCAGAATCTGGCCAATTCTGTACTGAATTTAATCGGCAATTGAGAGATAGTTCTTCATATTTTTCTTTCTCTTCGTCAAAGTTCCGTTCGTTGTTCAAGTTCGCCGTGGGTCGAATCTTCGTGCAAATTTTCGACAACAGATCGTTGTACCTTGGGAGACTACCGGGAAGAGACTGTGCACCATTGACAGCCCGGAAATATTGTCTTAAGGGAATTGCTTTGGCAAGCCTCGATCGTTCTTTGTGGTTTTCACAATTCCTCTTTTCGACAAACAAGTAAGTATCTTTCGTTTACGCAGATTGTTATATAATTATACCAACAAAAAGTTCAAAACCAGCACCAATAATCATATTGCAGGTAAATATCACAAAAAATGGAAAAATAAAATAACATCATGCTGTAAAAGATTATAGATACACGCTCTTTCTACCTGCCTCTCTTCTTCCCCTTGAAAATTTTGTTGTGCGGTCTACATTCTTTGATGAGAGGAAAAAAAGAGGCTCAAACATTTCAATTCAGTATTTCATACCGAAAAATAAAACCTATAACACACACAGAAAAGGGGAGAAGTGTACATACCTGAATTGGCAAAAAATCAGGCGCCATTGGTTGTCGAGAAAAGCCAGATCACCATCTTGAAGTTGCATAAACCAAGAAACATACACTGATCAGTCCAAACTTGTAGCTTCATATATATGGTTGGAAGGGGTTGCCGCCGTCGAAGAGAGAGGATCTTTGAAATAAAGGAAGGAAAAAAAAAACAGCCTTGTGAGTAGAGAACGATGAAAGAAAAGCCAAAAGAAACAGCAAAAGGGAAAAAATATTATTACAGCTCCATCGCAAGAGCAGATATGTCAACAATTCTATGTAATTTACAGTACGCAGCAGATATAAAATCAAAGGAGATGCAAACATATAGTAAGGGCCCTTTTGCTTTTCAAGATGGGTTTGGATGGGATTGGATTAGCCTCCTAGGATTGCACTGTTGGGATTGGTAGTTTTGGATTCAATTTCATCTTAGGTATTATGGATTAACACATTCGGATTAAGCCTAATTTAATTTCAATGTCATCTTAGGTTTGCAAGACAATGTTGGAAAATGTTGGATTGGTACCTATAATTACAAAATTGCCCTCAAAACATATAGTAAGGGCCCTTTTGTTTTAATTTGTTTGCACAAGTCACCACCATAGGGTTGCAATCAACTAGTTCAATCTTCTCAAGACGTTCACTAAATTTCATAGGGATCTCTTCTAACTTGTAGCACTGCTTTAGGGTAAGCCACACGAGAGAATCGAGGCGATAACCATCCTCGATTGTCCAGAGCACCAGATCAGTGTCTTCAATCAGAAGATAATCAAGTTTGGGGAACTCGTCCTGACGAACTTGCCATTTTGGCCCTCGAAAAGCATAGCAGAGCAATTTGAGCACTCTAAGATACGGCAACGAAGAAATCTTGGTCATTTCTTCCCACGGATATCCTAAGCCACTCAAAGTTAACCTGACGAGATTGGACGACAAGGTCGAAAGAGTGACAGGTGGGGCAACAATCTCGGACATGATCTTAGGATTCACGATAACGCATTTAAGTGCTTCCAGGTGGTCGAGACAGGAAATATGGTCGAAGCAACACAAGGGTTCAACAACATCCTCATCGGGCGACAATTCAATTCGAATTCCTAATTTCCGTAGATAAGGAAGTTTTTTAAGAACACCCTCCGTACAACTGTGAGTGCTCACATCTAAGAGTGTGTAGAGGTGTAGTATGGGAGATCCTTCACAAGGATCTGGTAGGTCGCTTCCCATGACCTGAATATGCTCCACTTCTTTCATATCCCATATCTCCATCGGCAGGTACGATGGAGTTCCAGCAGATTTTACGATGCTTAGATGTCGACTGACAATCAACCACTTAAGTTTCCAAAGTTTGGATATGGAAGCGGGGAGCATTCCATCGTAGGTAAGCGCAAAGTACCTTAGCTGAACTAGTTTCACTACTTCCATTGGGAACTCATAGAAACGGATTGTAAGAGCATCGATCAACCTCAACAACATCAAACCAAAACATATCCGTACTGGATATTGATGATACGGACCGGTGCATAGGAGAGAACGTGCAGCTGAAATGGACGCCATTGAGTCGTGGGTTTCTTTGATGCCGAATAAAACATTATTGCGAATGCACAATCGGCGTTGGTTTTTTAGATCTTCTTCTGCTAAACCATCGGCAAGAAAATTTAAGCCATAGAAAAACTTGCTCTTTCTAGCCTCTATGTTACACAGGTACCAAAACGAAGAATGCAGGTTAGTAAGTTTTATTTGGCCTTTGAAGCCCGTCTTATGGACCACGGCAAGACTATAAAAAACAAGGTCTTGAAAGTAATCTTCACTCGAAACCTTGTCCAATTGGATGATTCCCTCAGCATGAGACAACTTGTAGAGCCTTGAGTAGGTTATTTCACAATTTTGAGGGAAAATTCCCATATAAAGGAACAATGGTTTTAAGAATTGAGATAAATAGTTGTAGCTTGGATATAGTACCTTATACATTTGAGCATATGCATCCATGATTATTGTTTTTTTCTCATCAACAGCTACATTGTTCCAGTACTCTACTGTTCTGTCTGCTTCGGACAGGGTATCAGCAACGGTGACGATTGTAAGAGGAAGACCGTCACAATTCTCGGCAATCTTCTTTCCAGCTTTCTCAAGCTCAGGAGGGCAAGGCATCTCATCAAACACCTTGAAGCGAAGAAGTTCCCAACTTTCTTTCTTATCTAAAAAGCGTACGTTACAATACCATGAAACTTCAGCAACGTTTTTCAGCCTAGTGGTCAGCAATACATGACTTGTAACAGTGTATGCCTCAAAAGAGTCCAAGTTAAGTATCCCCTCGTCCCATACATCATCGAGTACGATGAAGAATTTTCGATCCTGTAAACGTTCGTTTATCATCCTTTTCAACCCGTGCATCCTGTCTTCCCCAGCTTCTATAATAGTAAGCATTATTTTGCTACCATCGTCATCAATGTTGGGATCCACTTGCTTAAGAATATCGAGATAGATGTCTTCAAGTCGACATTTCGGGCCCAACGTGACAAATGCACGGATGTCGTATCGACTCGAAAGTAATGGATCTTGAAAGAGTTTCTCGGCAAGAGTAGTCTTACCGATGCCAGCCATCCCCCACAGTGTTAATCTGAGATTTATGTTATTGGTTGTAAGATGATCTCTGATTTCTGTAAATTGATCGGACAACCCCACCATCTTCTTCGATTGATTGAAACGTCCGTTAAATCTCGATGGGGCGACGAAGTCAACTTCTTCTTCTTCTTCGGGGGTGCAGCTTAATGCTTCAACGTAGTCCTGCTTCAACTTGTTTAGCGTTTGGGCAAAGGAATGAACATCGTGGTTCAGTTCCTGCAAGTCCACCGATAAGGATAATGGCGGGTGACGACGGCAATTAATCCCATGATCATCTTCACCATTATTACGTCTTTCTTGATCATCGGACAATTGTGTAAGAAGCTGATCTGAGACGTGGAAGTCAACTGCATCCTCGAATTTAGATACTGCATCTCTGATTTCTTCGTCCACGGCATTCACCCTCTCGCTTATGCTTTTGATGCTGACCGCGTCCAATTTTGAGAGAACGTCTCTCAACGATCGAACCTCCTCGTACAGGTGTTGTATGATTTGTACCGAGGAGTTTTGGATGATCGAAATATGAGTAGATTTTGAAAGGCCGTCAATTGTCTGTTTAAGAGAAAGCAGAGCAGCATAAGCTGCCATCTCTGCTAGATAATCTCTCTCTCTCTCTCTCCCTCTCCTGCTTCTCTCACTCACACAAATTTAGATGCACTGGATCGAAATAGATGCGATCTACGTATTTCTTGTTGATTCTCGATAACGTGAAAAAAATAGTCAACCATGCATGTGAAAACATAAATCAATGGGCATGGAAATTCGAGTAGAGCTAGCTGTTATACGGACACAATTAATTTATTTGATTATTTGCACTCCTACCCAGACAAAAATCAGTCCTGCATGTGCAAATAACTTTTCAAAAAGTTGGTGGTTATAAGTAAAAATCTTTAAATAACTGTTTTATTTCTAAAATTTAGAGTTATTATGGGAAATACCATGTTAACATTAGTAAAAACAGGAACATCGTCAAAGGAATAAGAAGACATAATTTTTAACGATAATACTCGAGTTTACTGGTTTTAAAACCGATCGCAGATGCAGCATATTACATAAGTTGACAAATAAAAACAATCCCCAGTGTTTGAAAATGAAATCTTAATCTTTCACAACAATCATTAATATTTCAGAATACATCATATGTGACGCTTGTCATGGTATTCGACTATCGGGAAATTTTGTCTGAACGATTTCAGCAGGTGGTCGCAGTGTACAAACCATCTCTTTCGTCTTCCCAAAATAGACCTGCAAAAATAAGTGCAAAATTTTACTAAATTTCTGGCAAATTTCGACGAAACAATAGAGTAACATGAGAACGAAATAAATAAATTCAAATACCTGATCCAATGAGTTTCTCAACTTGCTCTCCATTTCTTCGATCATCCGTCCCATATTACATAAATGCCCCTCTGCAACTGAGAGCTCCATATTCATCTATACAATACAAATAGGAGAAGAAAAAAATGTGATGTAATAAAAAATATTGGCAGGACTGGCATATTTATAGTTCCTCTTCGAAAACAAAATACCTGTCTTCTAATTGACCCCGACAAATTAAACGTGCCTTCAGACTCATCGTTTGTGGTCAATGAAAGCATTACAGAACTAGTCAAACAGTAACGAGCATTTACTTCCTCTTCGGGTCCCACCTACAAATACATATAAAATGTTTTATTTTTATTTTTATTTCTAAGCCTTTTTTCCAGTCAGTCTGATGAGGTAGTTAATGTACCTCGATCACATGTATTGCATCCCAAGATCCTTCTTGTAGATAACCTCTTCTGCCGTGTGCAGTCTTCGAGCCATCTTCAACAAGAAAAAACAGACCGTTGCAAAACTTTTGCACAGGAAAAAGAATTGCACAGTTTACTGCAAAACTCGGAGGAAAAAAAAAATCATTACCTTTCTTGATTAAGAAGCAAGCTATAAACCCTTCGTTTTCATCCTCCCACATGTACACCGATGAAATGCCACCTTCATAATACCTATCCATTGATTGGTCAATTCAATCTGCTAGAAAAAGCGCTTAGAGAAACAAAATACAACTAGAGAAAAAATATAAAACAGCGCTGTATTTTGTCTCATTTTAAAAATTTGAGCAAATACGAGGGAAGCAGCGTATTTGTAGATCGATAAAGTGAAGAAAGAGAAACTACGAGGTAAGTAAAGGACCTCACTGGTCACGATAGATAGTGAAGACATCGTTTGCTTCGATTTCAAGTTTCCTCAACTCTGCAGATGGATGGGGCCCGTCGTCTAATGCGGGATGGTATTTGTTTGACCAGGGTGACCTTCAAGATAACCATACATGAGAATGTCTTTTCTTATGCCAATAAAACGAAAAAAGAAAAAGAAAAATATTAGCAACAATAAAGCAAGTGCCCATATAAACCACGAAGGGAATTCGGCCAATAGCTCAATAATGCTAACACGTGATCGAGTGATTTTTTTTTTTCAACAGTATTTTGATTTAAGATTTGGATATTTTTGGAAAATGTTTACATTAATTATCATCGGATAACAAGAATTTATGAAGTACCGTATAACATGTACCTATAAGAGTCTGCATCTCTGTTATACTCGCATAATATGAATTCCTTTCCGCTATCCACATCACATAAAACCTGAGGAACTACATTACATTTAGATAATAATATATCTTACCGACAGATATATTCAGTAACTAACATAACTGTTTAGCTAAATATGCGGTAATTAGTGTTCAGATGGAAACAAAGGGAAGTCAACACAAAATGACGTAATGGGGAAAAGTTCTAAGCTTATTTGCTGCGATAGATCGAAACGGGAATACTTCGCCTCCACTCCCCCGAAAATACCTTCTTTGGCAAGAGAAAAGAGAAGATGACAATATATATACTTTTATACCAGAAACAATCTATGAATTCACGTTGATAAAAGAAAAATATTTCAGACAATGTCATGTTACGCACCATCAAGAATCTGACAGTCTTTGATTGATTGACAACCAATTTCCCACGACAATTACATTACATTAGATTCAATAATTCGATCATAATATGAAGAAGTCGTACCTATCACAGTAATACTAATTACAATGCTTTAAGATTCAGGGAAATAACAAAAAGAAACAAATAAGACGAACTTTTTCATCCCTAAAACTAAGACAGAAAATTCATTAGAACAGAAAATTCAAAATAAAACAAGATCTCTCCTAGAAATTCAAGAAAGACGAAAGATTAGAGTCCAAAATGCCGACAAAGAATAACCAGTTACAAACCCACACGGAAAATGCACTCGACTCCCTTGTTTTCCAACGAAGCGAACTCTCGGACCCCCTTCAAATTCTTACAGAAATTAACAAACTCCAAATTTTACCACTCAACAACCCCAATTTCGACTTCAAGTTAAATGCAGCATATAATCTCAAAGTCGATTCTTCTCGAGCTATTCATAATTGAGCCCCAATTACAAACCTAACCTAAAAATCGACAAACTAAACGAGTCAACAACTCAACAACTCAACAAAACAGCAAATACCCAGACATTACATCAATCAAAACGAAAAAACCCTAGTCTCCCAACACAATCCTCATTCTTCAAAACATTTAATAGCAACAAAATTGCCGCAAACCACACAATTCCAGAATCCAGCCTAGTTCAATTTATCTTCTAACCTATATATAATTCTAAGTTACGAAAATGTGATGTATATATACATACAGATGTGTATATATATATAATGAAATTGACCTGAAGAGGCTGGTCGACTTGAGAGAGAAGATCGGAGGAATGGTGGGGTAAAAGGCTCAAGAGTGCAGATAAAGCAGCTTCCGAATGCTTCGGCGGAATCCTCCGCATCAACCCCATCGCCGCCTCCATTTTTTCTCTCTACGGCGGAGGATCTTCTCTATTCCTCCGTTCCCCCAGATTTTTTTTTCTGTTTGTTTTTAATTCTTTCAACATTGGAGGAACCTCCTTTTATTTGTATTTTTTCTCAATTTATTAAGGGCCGATTATTTTATTTTATTTTAATCGGAGAGGCCGAATTAAATTAAGGGGACAACTATTTTGAATACTAATTTTTGCTTAGTTGAATACCAAAAAAATAAAAAATAAATAATTAATTGTAAATTACTTTAATACCCTTAATGAAAATTAAAACCAAAAAATATTACAAATACTATTTTTCTTTCTTAAAAACCAAATAATCAAAAACCTAAAAAAAACATTTCCCTCCTCACTCACAAACCCCTCACCTCCTCCACCTCCTTCTTCTCCCTCCCCAAAAACCCTCCTAAAAAACCCCAAAACAAAAGAAATCAAAGCCTTACACAACTTGCAAAATGACCTCAAATGACAATAGAATAGTAGTTTACGAGCAAGGAGAACCCATTCAAGTATGTATTCATGTATTTTTTGAGCTAAAACATCGATTTTGAATTTTTTTTTTTTTAAAACTCGCCATGTATTTTCGACACATACAGGTCGAAAATACCCTTATTTTTCGACGTGTATGTGTCGAAAATACCCTTAAGTGTCGAAAAAAAACAAAAAAAAAAAAAAATTCACAGTTCAAATTCGACAGCTAGCTGTCGAATTTGAACTGATACAACAATTTCACCATTTTCGACCTGTATATGTCGATTTTGGATGAAATTCAT